AACTTTATTAATGTATCTTTTTACAACAATCAACGCTATAAGTGTATTTATTCATGCAAAAAATTATTGTCAGGCATTTCCTGCATTTCCCAATCATTGAAGATATGTTCTTTCTTTTTTCTATCTATGTCTTTTAATTAAGTTTACACATTTTCTATACACTTCCCAAATTTTATTGAAAAATATTTATGAGCACAATTCATGATATTTAAGAGGACTATCACTATTTTTACTCTCAATTTTGGTACTCTAATTTCTGCTTTTTGAAATTTGTCTTTGGATATAGGGAGGGGAGGGGAGAAAGGGTAATAAGTTTTCACTTTACATAAGAATATATATATTTTTAACTTAACAACACAACAATATTGATTTATTTTAATATAATAATGTAACAATATCAATTTTTTTTAGATAAAAAATAAAATAAAAAAGTAATAATAAATAACATTTATTAAATATATATGTACATATTTATTGTAAATGTATGTTTATAAATTCAGAGTGGTGTTTTTTTTTTTTTTTTTTTGAATCATCTTTAATGTTTATTATTTAATTTGAATATTCCTGAGGATGTCAGCAATTAGAAAATATATGCAAAGTATGTGAAATTATTGTATAGGACATTTTTTAAAACAATATAACTTAAAATGATTTTCTTTGACAATTTTTTTAAATATCTTCTCATTCAATTTATATGCGTGCAACTACAAAAATATAAATTTATATGTTTGAGCTTGTTTTGCAATTTCTTTATTTATACTTGATCATTTTTTTTTAAATGTCTTTATCTTAAATTTAATAAAGGTTTAATATCATCTACTTAAAAATGTATAACATAATGTATATGTTATATATATAAAATTTTTATTTATTCATATTTATTTTATTTATTCATGTTTATATTTTTTTATTGAAATATTTTAAAACTCAAGAAAAATATGAAGATTAATAACAAAATAAGAAATGGTTAAATAGTTAAACTTACATGTGTGTTACACACATCACGAAAAGAGCAATAGAATCTTTTATTTTAATGTCACAACAGGTTTAACAATTTCTAAGAACATATTTTTAATATTACATATTATTTTAATGACATTTTATTTTAATATTTAATAATTTTTTTATTGAACTTTTGTTATAATTTGTTTGTAATGGAATGTTACTTTCATAATTTTTAATTTTATATTGAAACACAAAATTTAGCATATGCAAAATAATAACTTAAAAACTTTATTTTAATGTCTGTGCTTTGTGTGTAGGTAAGATTGTTAACTATCTCACCAGTTGATAGCTACAGGGATGCGGAATCCAAAAAAGGACTCCGGATATGAAAGGCACAAAAAGATAATTTTTTCCAAGTTTTTGGTATCCAGGAGCTCTAAAAATATAAATAAATTTATGGACTACTAATAGGAAAAAAAATTAAGACTTTTAGGTAAGAGGAACAATCATTTTTTGAACTCGGAGTCCTAAGTTATAATGGCGTTACTGCAAGTGGTGTAAACAACTCTGGCTTAAGTTCAAGTTGTGTCTATCATTGATAAAAATTAATATTTAGTTTCATTATTGAAATTTAAACTTAGAATCATATACCGAAAATAATTGAATTACAAATTTTATCTAAAAATATTTAGTTTTTTTTTAGTTTTAAAAGAGGATGTAAAATCCATTATCCACTGAAAATATAGATAGTTTGATACATCTTACAATGTGATAAAGAAATTTATACTATGGGGCAGGTAAAACCATGGTAGGTGGTTTTATCTCCCCCCTCCTTTCCCATATAAGTTTCATATGCACAGTGATCTAACCCCCTTCCCCCAATTCCATTCACGCACACGAATGTGATCACTTTGTTTTTTGCGCTGTTCAACCTTTATAAACTTAACAGGCCATGAAGTGAGCAACATCCACCTTTTATTAACCTGACTGTCACCTCAATTTTTTGCATTTGCGTACATACATTTGTTGGACTGTCCCTCTCCCTCCTATAGGCACTTGTACACAAATTACTCAACTTGGGATACCCCATCCCCCCTCGGTGCCTACGTAATATAAGGATGGCTTCTAATTTAAATAATATCAATTTAACTATATTAAAATCTCATTTGAAAATTTTGATAATTTAACTATATTAAAATCTCATTTGATAATTTTAAAAAAATTATTTTTTTAGTTTGGAGAGGCAGGAGGCGGAGTAGCGCACACCCCTCACCCTAAATCAATGCATATACCACTAGTATATGTTGTAATGTAAAAAAATACATTTTTTTTTTAGATTAGATTTTTTCATTTTAATAAAAATAAAAGTATTTATACTAATGCATCATTTTTAATATTAGGCTGTGTTAAACCATCAACCCAACATCCATCCCTTACTCAAAAACACACCTTTCACATTTGGCAGTGGTCTGGAAATGAATTTTAAGAGATTCTTATATATATAAGAATTGCAAATTTTGTAAAAATAAACTCCTAATTTTAATAAAGTAAACTTTTTGAAGTATAGATAATGGCTTGGTGCCCCTCTAGTCTCCTGAATACGCCCTGTAGCTAAAGACTATTTAAATTTGTAGCCCACTTACACCTTTTTTTTCATGTCAAGCTGTGGTCATTTTGATAAGAGTTGACAAAGTTATAGCAATTTACATTAAGAAAAACTTAACTTTGACCACAGTTTCTTCAACAAATCCATATATCTAGGTATGTGAAAATTGTGCACAGGGTTATAAAAAAGGTTTTAACCATAACTTTCTGACCGAGAAAACCCTTTGGCAGAATGATAGCCCACACTATGGGAATCACTTTTATATAAGTATCAAAATCAAATTACAACATCCTGGCAATTTACATTCAAATTTTTATACCAGTAAACACAAAACATGTTTTAAACGTTTAATAAGCGTATTAATTTGTATTAAAACGTATTATAGACGTGTTAAACATGTCTTATGTTAACTAGGATATTTTATTGATAGCACAAACATGCGAAATGACAGCTTATTTTGCATTTCTACAGCCCTAAATAATGATTATTTTGTAAAAACTGTTTAAATTGATATGAAATGTAATTAAATATCTGCATAAATTATTTTTGAAAAAATATTTTTTTTTAAATTCTGGGAAAACAAACGTCGTCTTTTTTTTTTTACTAATTAGAGCTAAACTGTGCACATCTAATTTTACTGAAAATACCAAATACTGTTAGAAACCACCAAGAATACAGAAAACAGTTTGTTTTTTTTGTTTCAGTAAATGTCAACGAGAGCTAACATCGAATCTAAAAAAAAGATGTCAGATTATACTGAAAGAGAAAATCGACTTTAATGTCATTATTGTTTGACAAGGACGGAAAGTGGATAGGACATTACACTCCTATAATTGTATAAAATGTATGTATATTTGAGACTATAAAACTTAGAACAGAAACTCAAGACTCACTGTAACTGCTTGATCTGTTCAATTGGAAAACTGAGAAACAATAGTCAAATGAAAATTGAATTTGCACAAAGTTCATCAGCTAGAACAAAACTTTTTTCTTCTTCAAAAGTAGAAAAAAGATGCTCAGATTGTTTTTCAATTATTGGCAGAGAATTGCCTCACAACTGCACAAAAGACATTTTAAGAAATAAAGTTTTTGCTGTTGCAACAAAGGATCCTTTGGCACCAGAAAGAGTTGCAGCTCTTGTTGTTTCAAATAAAAACTCCTCCACACGTTCATTAAGTTGGATTAAGTTCAATTAAGCTAATGGTGAAAGGATGCTTCTAGTAACACCAGGTATAAATTTAGTTTTTTATAGTTCAAATTAATGATAGGTTAAACTTTTAACATTTTGCATTCATTATAGGTTCGTCATCAGCTAGATAATTTTTCCCTCCAAATTCATTAACAAGTATTGAAGACCATACTCAAGTTCAAGAAAACATAGGGCTTTCAAACAATGGAATCATGACTTTAGCAGCTACTATTAATTAGTCAACTTCACCAAAGAATGTTGAGGAAAATTACGCCATAAAATTTGATGAATTTATCAAGCAGCTTGTAAATCATTTCACAAGCTCATTAATTCAAGATCACGCTGGATGTATGAGGACTGTCATAAATTCATGTTATGGATTCCTGAAAGTTAGCCTGGGAATTACTGAAAGTTTTTAAGGAGACTGGCATCAAACAATAACTCATTTTTGCTGTCTCTGAGGAGCTTCAAGACAAAAATGAAAAAAATCCCTTACTCTTTAAGTCAGCAGGTCAGCAGGTTCCAATATCAGAAAAGCAAAAATATTTTTCATTCTCCAATATTTAAACTACTGAGAGACACTTCGGTTTTTAAGTTCTTTTTTCCCATGGAATTACACCTCCTAATTCGAGTTTTTAATCACCTTTTTGCTGCGCTACTTCAAGTTTTTCCTCAAGCAACTTTTTCTATTGATGCATTACTCATTAAACAACAACCTTACTATAGTGAACATTTGCAGAAAATGAGTTCAGAAAGCTGCTATACAATATTGGTATTCTTCAATCAATTGCTGAGAAACACTCATGCTATGCATCCATACCATTCCATAATATACTTTTTGAAATTTCAATGCGGTAGTGTCTGGCTGTTTTGAATGAAACCTTGATCCAAACTACCCACATATAATTGAAGCATTTAGAGTGCCTTATCTGACATTGCAATCTATTACCACTTATCTATTATATAGTTAATCATTCTATTATTGGCTTTGATTCTATTATCAAATCTCCCAGGTCTACGTAACTGTATGGCTTTGTTGGTCATTTGAAAGTGACTTTTTCTCAAAATGTGTCTGCAACATCCAAGGTCCATGCAGTATTTTTCTATGTGAAAGATTTTATTGACAGACATGGCCAAGCTTTTAGGCTTTACTCAGAATGGTAGAAAAGGGCTATTTATATTGCCTCGTTGAATTCAATAGTAAAGATTGCTTGTAAAAAGTCATATTAGGATTTAAGGGATTTAAGAATAAATTTATTTGTTTCATGTAAGAGAAGCAGTTTTTTTGTGTATGCATTTTATGTTTGCTACTTGTATAATTTCAAGATTATATCTTTTTGCTTTTCTTGTTTATGTTGAAGTAAATTTGAGATTTTTAATATTGTAAAAAGAAAAGTAAGCTGTCATTCCGCATGTTTGTACAATCAATAAAATATCCCAGTAAACACAAGATGTGTTAAATACGTTTTTAATCTGTATTAATATGTTTAGTAAACATTTAAAACACATTTTGTGTTTACTGGGATGAAAATCGAAATGTAAATCACTTGCCAAGATGTTGTAATCTGATTTTGATACTTTAATCTAAGTGATTGCCATAGTTTGAGCTATCATTCCACCAAAGGGTTTTCGCAGGTCAGAAAGTTAACGATAAAACCTGTTTTATAATATTGCATGTTTTACAGAGCCGAATTTTGTGTTAAAATTTTGTTTTTTAAACTTTTTTAAACTTTTTTTTAGGTAGTGCCAGATAAACATTTTTTAAAGGTGCTTCTTTTTAAAACATACATAAAGTTGGATTAATTTTGAAAAAAAAAATAGTTTAAGTTCAATTTATATGACATTCATGTCTCATTTGCAATTTTTTTTATTGAGTTTATTGATATTGAAAATTAGTTTGTTGTTCTTGCATCAAATTATTTTTGAAGATATGCTCAGATTTTTTATTTGTTTGTGGTCTGGAATCAAACTTTGGTAGTTTTAGTATAAAAAAAAAATTCAAATTTAGTAAAAAAACATTTTATGAAAAAAAATCCATTCTGACACAGTTAAGGTTGTGGTTTGGCTATATTAGTCTCTTTCCTCCAAGATACATATAGTGGGTAGATACCAACATCAATTTGAAACTGCATTTTACACCTAACTTTTGATACCATATAACTTTTTGCAGAATTTTTTGACCATTAAAATACTGTGTTAAAGCTCTTCCCAATGATGTATAAATATTTGGTATTTGACCAATTAAAAATTTTCAATCCCATACCTAACATTTTTGCAGAATTTTTTGATTTTCATATATTTTAAAAGACTGTATTGGAGCTTTTTTCAATGGTATATAACAATCTAGATATTAGTCAATTTTAAAATTTCATCTGGCATAGCTAGTTTTTAGAGTTGTTGTTTTTAACCAACCATTGAATTTTTTGCAAAGTCTTCTTATTTGATATGGCCATGGGCGGATTAATACTTCTTGGGGTCCGGGGCTATTTTTTTTTTTTTTTCGAGGCCTTATTATGCGCCAGAGCCTAAAAATGACTTTAAAAAAAAAAAGGTCTTCTAAAATTTTGGGGGGCTCCTAAATTTGCGGGGCACGGGGCCTAGCTTGCCCCCCCCCGTATCCAGTGCTGGGATCAAGCCCACCTTGATCCCGGCACTGGATATGACCAAGTTTGATATAACCCAATTTTGCACCATGTCTGAAATACCTCAATCATATATATATATATATATATATATATATATATATATATATATATATATATATATATATATATATATATATATATATATATATATATATATATAGATATGTATATATATATATATATATATATATATATATATATATATATACATATATATATATATATATACATATATATATATAAATACATATATATATATATATATATATACATATATATATGTATATATATATATATATATATATATATATATATATATATATATATATATATATATATATATACATATATATATGTATATATATATATATATATATATATGTATATATATATATATGTGTATATATATATATATATATGTATATATATATATATATATATATATATATATATATATATATATATATATATATATATATATATATATATATATATATATATCTTCATACTTCTCCTCTTTTTTGCGTAAGAGAGTGTGGCGCTAAACTAATTAAAATTGAAATTTTCCCTGTGGCACAATTTTTACTCACAACAAGTTAATGTTGTAAGTGAAAATTGTTGATTTTTATGTTGTTTTTTTTCAGCTCAGTGTAAACACGAGGATAGATCAGTTGGATAGAATTTTCGAATTATCATTTGCCGTAGCAGCAATGCAAGTTCAATTCCTGGCTTGCCTACTTTGCGCCTATCAGAAATAAGTACCTCAGTGCGAAGGGAACTTGTCTCCTATAACGATGATTTTTTTTTTTGACTAGTAAATAAATAATCTAGTTGAGTAAATAAAAAGTTTTGGTTTGAAAATTATCGTTTAATAAGATTTAGTCTCTCCTCAAAAAAGCAGAAAGCCTCTCTTTTTTTTCTTTAAAAAAGTATGATTGTTGTTAAAAATATTAATTAATATCATTGGTTCAATTAATTCTTTGACAAAAAAAAGTTTAAAGTTGTAAAAAAAACTGTCGAATCATAAAATTGTGAAGTGAGAGTTGCGGATTGAAAAGAAAGGAAAGAAATCAAGATGTAAAGTTTTAAATTCGACAGATGTCTTTCAAATTTAAAACTTTATCAAAATAAGTATATTCCTTGTTGTCCAAATTCAGAGTACTCCGTTTGAAGAGTACTCAGTTTGAAAAATTAATAAGTCGAAATTTAAGAACTTAAAAAGAGATAAGGGTATAAGACGTAAAGAAAGCAAAAATCATTTAAAAGTTTCTATTTGCAGTTCAGCAAATGCCAGAAAATGCGATCAAATACTGCTACAGAAAAAATTCAAAAGAAATCAAAAGTTCATTATAACGGATGGTGAAAACTTATTGGAAACTCCAGACTAGTAATTTTATAATATTCCGAGAGTTAAAAAGCCTGACGTTTATTTAAAAAAGATTTTATTTAAAAAAAATTTTAAAAAGTTTTTGAATGGCAAGTCAGCAATCTGTGTAGTTTTAAAGTTCAGTCATATTTCATGAACCGAAGTTTACGTAAAAGAATGTTTAAAAAGGCGGCTTATATAATCCAAAAATAATGATGATTCGCCTGTCTTTTGGCTTAATCTTGCAACGTACGACTACTCAAGATGTGCAATAAAATGGTGTTGATACCATTCGATCACATAATGGCGTCAATTCGTTCTTAAACAAGTCGAATAAATTTTTGAAAAACTCTAATAACCTAGATTTTTATGGTTATGTATACCCATCAAATGATGGGTATACAGCAGCGGAGCCAGCATTTTTTGCTATTTGAGATAAGTAATTTCCAGACGTGGAACAAACTCCAAATATTTATATGTTTATAGTAACGTAAAATAAAGATGCTTTGCATAAAATTGCAATGATAGAAGCCAGGGAACCAAAACTGCCCCAAACGTTAGAACAACAAGTTGATGAAATATTTGTTTTACTATTCTCAACTAAAGTTATATTAATTGATAAATTTTAAATTTCATAGTATAATCTATCAACGTTCAAAAATTATGACCATATAAAGTTTTAATTCCCCTCAATTTGAAGCGGTAAAAAATTTTTGTATGGTCATAACTTTGTATCTTAAGAGGTTATTATATGAAATTAAACATTTATCAATGCATATAACTTTATTTGAGAATAGTAGTCAAAAATATTATATCAACTTGTTGGTCTCACGTTTGGGGCAGTTGTGGTCAAAATTTGAGGGCTATTTTCTTCCCAGATTCCAATGCAATTTTTTGCAAAACTTCATTATTTGATATAAGTACATATTCCAACATATTTTTAAAGGTGCGGCCTGGCGCAGTGGTTAGAGCGCTTGCTTTATAAACAGGAGATCCAGGTTCAAAACGAGCTTTGGACATATTTCGCGTCACGGTAAGGAAGGAGGCGTGAACTTCCTGGTTAAATGCACTTCCGCGGTGCTCTGCGACAAGACCGTTAGGACTTCTTGGGGCACCCAATTAACAAATTTAAAAAAAAAAAGTAAAATTAATATAAATAATTAAAATAAGTTTATTTTTATTTGATGTGTAAAATCGGCTTTAAAAGCGATTACATAAAACTAAAAAAAAAACGGAATAAAAAATAAGACTGCCACAAACGACCTGATTTTAGGGCATAAGCTGACTATATTATGTTTGTTTTTTTAATGTAATATACTTTTGTTGTAAACTCGTATGCCGTCAACACTCATAGCCTGTGGCTAGATTGTTTTTTGCCTTGTGACTGTACTTATTTCCCAGACTTTTTGTGCCGACTTATATTCAAATAACCCAAGCGTCTTTATTATTTTCTTAGTAAGTTGGTAACTATGCTGGATATGTTTTAAAAGAATACTGTTACAAATGCTATTCATGCTTCTCACATTCAAAACATAAAATGTTGCAAAAAAATTGTTTACAAAACTAAGGGTGGAATGCAAGAAGTAAACTTGAGTCAAGTTCGACTTGAACTTTACATTGTAACCAATAGCGGCAGAGTCTGGGTTTTTCCCTAAAAAAATTGCCGCTATTGGTTACAATGAAAAATTCAAGTCGAACCTTTTTCAAGTTTGCTACTTGCATTCCACCCTAAATGGCTTAAATATCTCACCAGCTTAATTTATTGATAAGCTTTTGGCTAGAGGTTGCCATGCTATGAATGTTTTTATACCATCTTTTAAAAATAGATCAAGGTTTTCTAGTTTAAAGATATATTTTTTAACTATGTTTTTACGAACTATATTTCTTATAAAAAGATAATATGATTTTTATAACTGTAACTATGTTTGCTTATATACAACTGTTTCTCTGCTTATTGTTATAATATTCTTATAAAAATAAGCAGAGATTATTCTTATAACTGAATTTTCTTTCAATTTAACATTAGTTTTAACAAAAATTTAATGGATTGAATTTTTTAGATTACAATTAGACTCCAAGTTAAGCAATATAATATATCTCAAATTTCAGTCTTGAAATTGACAATGGAAAAAAACAAGCTTCAAGAAATTAAATTTGGTATTGATTTATATCACTATAACTGGTTTAATATTGCTTTTGAAATAGATATGGCTTTAAATGTAAAATAACTAAAGCTTAGAAAATGTGGAAAGCAAATCAATCACGATAATCACTCGTCATCTTATATCATCAGATATATATATATATATATATATATATATATATATATATATATATATATATATATATATATATATATATATATATATATATATATATATATATCTGATTATTTTAAGCTTTCTATCATTTTACCTCTACTGAACCATCTTATTAATGATCTTATTAGTTATATAAGATTAAGGAAGCTGTTGGTTTGAAAAATGTTGGTT